GCAAGACGCTGCAGTGCCAAGTTGTGGAAAAACAGTCTTTGCATTGCCTTCCTTCTGAACCTAACATCAGGAAATAGTGGATGAACTATTGTGATTTTTAATGAAGATCCAGATTGCTTGGTCCTTTGTTCACATCATTTTTACCACGGATTCGTTTACAAACAAAGCACAATTTGACTCAGGATTTTCAGAAAGATTGAAACTAATGGCGCTTTTCCACTGCGTGGTACGACTCGGCTCGGTACGACTCGGCTCGGTTTGCGTTTCCACTGCAGTTTAGTATCGCTTTAGAGTGGGCGGGATTATTCACGTCATTATAGTTGCGCCGCCTCTACTGCTGCGACTCCTAAAAAACTTTTTCATTCCGCGTCGCCCCATCAAGCTCTCGCTGGATCCGCTCCTCTGCTATCAACGAGAGCAACGTCTGTACTTCCTCAACAGGGGGAACAGCCACTTTTTGGTTGTTAAAAAAAGGTGCGCTCGTTCAAAACAGTTGCATTCGATCCTTCGCTGGCTGTGCTGATTTAAATCTAGCGGTTCTTTTGTGTTTGTGTCGCAAGTTCAGTGACGCAGGTAGTGACGATTCTCTCCGGCCAATCCGTGATCAGCAGAGTTTACACGTCACGTTTTGGTAACGGTACGGTTCACCTGGAACCCCAACCGAAGTGGTACTAAAAAAAGTACCAGGTACCAGGTACTGTACCCAGTGGAAAACCCCCCAAAAGTGAACCGTACCGAGCCGTACCGTGCCGTACCATGCAGTGGAAAAGAGCCATATGTCATGCATGACAACAGCTGTCTGCTCTGCTTTGATCTGGTAAATAATAGTTTTGCTGTGTAATAAAACAAAGCTTTTGTTTTGGTGAATCTGTCATTACTCATCTAAATCTAAACTGACAGCAACTGACGGAAAAAACATCACCCTAGGGCTCTGCTTGTCTCCAGGCGTCCCCATTATTCAGGTCTGCTCTTGGCCACAGGTGGAAATGTGGTCAGACTTTAGTAGACTCCACCCATGTTCAAACAGTCTTAAGGGAGTTTCTGCTATTCCTAGTGATAAGCTCTACCCGTTGTTCTGTTGTGTTTGGGCACACATCTAAACACGGGTGTTGGATTACTATTAACACCTGTCAGACAGAGTGGCAAACAGGCATAGCGTGCTGGATAAGATGAGTTCAAAAAGATCTAACCGCTGTAGTAGCTAATGCTGGGTTTGGACTTTTTGCTTTGTTTTCATGTCTTTTGAATATAAAGCTCTCTCAGGCATTCAGGAGTAGTTTTGAGGAATATTTCACGTTTTGTTTTACTCACTCTCATGTCGATCTAAACCTGATTGACTTTCTTCCATGGAGTGCGAAAGGAGAAGTTTTAAAGAATGTGCTGCTCACCAATTCCAATGCAGTGAGGACCTGTGATTTCATGCTTCAAAAAGCATGCAAGGCACCACAAAATAACCGTAAATGTTGCATGTGACTTGTCTTTTCAAATCACCACACTCACCAGCTGATTAGAGCTATTACTCATGTTTTTCTCAGCTGAAATTGCATGGTAGATTCATAATTAATACTGTCAGAGCATCATTTTCCTGTGGTTTTACCACGAGGAACGTGTCCACCACCAATCCTGCAGCATAAAATGAATGACTACATGGACATCATACAGCAGTGCTCAGCTTCTGACAATTTATTCAAAATGCTGTGTGTTATCACACAGATATTACGTTATTTTCCAGGGGAAATTAAATTCATGTTACTTTTTTGTTTTGGATGGACAAATCTAAATGCACTTGAGTATCACTAACCTCAGAAAGGCTAAGTTTGACACTAATAATGTGTATAGGCAACAAAGATAAAAGTAACCCTCTTTTAGTTAGTGTCATGCACTGGTCCAGTGCTCTTGACAGAAGCTAGGGCAGAAATAAAAATACAGAGAAAATAATATTTTTTTTTTATAACTGTTATTTCACTTGTTAGTTCACACAATGGTATGATTCTGCTTTTGTTATACAAGCTAATATTTAGAGACCAACTGAATATAATAACAATTTAAATGCATTAATTCACCTGATATTACAAAAACAGTTTAGTAGAAAAACTGAAATATTACTATAAAATAGTAAGTCCAATGCATTTTTCAGTCTCTTACTTACAGGGTTAGTGCACCCCAAAATGAAAATTGACATTTTACTCTTGTCTTGAC